TGACTTACGTAAGTAAATTAATAAATTATTTATTTTAGGGTGATCGTAGTGATTGCACAATATCGTCTGCATCGATAATTCGTATAGCCAAGTCGGTCATCAATTGTACTGTACCACTTTGTTATAGTGTGATGAAGGCAGACCAATTTCAAAACTTTTGATATAGCGCACATATCATTAAGCTTTCGGTGAATAGTATTGTAAAGTTAAAGCAAAACATCTTTCTGGGGAACACTTAGACCCAGGTAGATGTCACGTTTTATGTACAATATTTAGGCAGCTGTCTGTAAAGTTCACTTTGTTAAACTATTATAATATAGTGTAAAACTTTTTGTTTTCCTAATTTATTAAATATTTTCCAGATAGTTCATTTAATAACTATTGAAAATCAACAACTTTTTTTAAATAGCGGTTTTGTGATTGAAGCCTTATAATAAAAACAAAACCTTGGTTAACACCATCTAAGACGGTAAATTGATAGGACTTTTTTTTTCACAAATCTAATTTTTAAAACGAGTTAACTAAAGCTCCTATTTCGATTTGTTAAATGTTTTAAATTTTATCCTGCATAATGTGAAATAAACCTGTAGCAATATAATAAACTTATTTTCAATAATTTCTAAGTTTTTTCCGAAGATCATTTATAAACACTTTAAAAAAAGAATTTCAAATAACACCTTGGTATTATTTATGTATGTATTACTTATAATCCGTAGACAGAGAAACCTATAGACTAATGATTAGCGTGGCCTCGAGTGAGAAAGGACGATAACGTGGTTTTAGGTTATACAATAATCTTTATGACTTTTAAACATATTTAGATAAAATTTTTAATTGTTAGAAGAACTGAACTTAACAAGACTCACCAATCTTAAGCTCACAAAACACTTTTTTCTCACTTAAACCAACTTGTAAACTCCTTAGATCGCTACGAACTGTCAAAGTTGTTTAGCAAATTATAGTTCGCTAAACAAAAAAACCGGCACGGAGAAAAGGACAAACAATCACACCGCTCTGTTCCATTTCTATGCAAAACGTATGCATAAATCTATCTTTTTCGTGTGCAAATGCGAAAGAAGGCGTCAATTTGTATATAGACTTCGATGTTTACGTTATAATCAAATAAAAACTTATGCGGACTATGGTGATTTGTTTATCGATAAAAAATATCGACATAGTCCACGCCTTACGTTGCTTACGCATTTAGACAGCGCCATCAGTGTACAATTTGATGGTATGCGTGAACGCGATGAACACAAACACAAATGCCGTAGTGTGCGTTTATAGTGACGCGATTTAATTTTGCATTTGTAGTTGCAAGTATACAGTTGTGTGTTTTTCTTGCGCCCTCTGATCTTGACAGAATTTTTGTTTAGTAATTAACGCGCATGGCCTCTCCAGTTGGTTAAATACTCAAAGAATTTACGGTTCTGTCATTGAAAGCGAATTATAGACAATAGTGTTGCCAATACATGAAATTTTCTACTAAATTAGTAAAAAAATATAAAATGAGTCCAATAACCTTTAAATGTTATAAATGTAGCAAAACCACAAATGATAAGAAGCTTTCAGTAAGTTGTGACTCCTGCAAGAGCATTTTTTGTGGTGATTGTCACAGAATGTCACTAAATGAAGTAAGAGTGGTCGAGTTAAAGACAATAGCTCGAGTGATTTCCTTTTTATTTGTCGATTCATCATCATGATCATCATCATTACAGCCCTTCACAAGTCCACTGCTGAACAGAGCACTCCCCCAAGGAATGTCACAAAGCACGGTCCTGAGCCACCTGCATCCATCGACTTCCTCATGTCTTACCAGGTCGTCACTCCATCTAGTGGGGGGTCGCCCTACACTTCGCTTACCGGTACGAGGCTGTCCCTCGAAAACCCTTCTTCCCCAACGGTTGTCGGTTCCAAGAGCTATATGGCCGGCCCATTGCCACTTCAGCTTACTAATCCGTTGGGCTATGTCGGTCACTCTGGTTGTACTGCGGATATCCTCATTTCTAAGTTTATCACGCAGAGGAACTCCGAGCATAGCCCTCTCCATAGCTCGCTGAGCGACTTTGAGCGTCCTCATACGGCCAGCAGTGAAGGACCACGTCTCGGTTCCGTAGGTCATCACTGGCAACTCGCACTGGTTGTACAACTTAGTTTTCAGGTTTTGAGGTATACTTGACGAGAAGTTGCGTCGTAATTCCCCGAACGGTGCCCAGCCGAGTTGAATCCGTCGATTGACCTCTCGGTCGAAGTTGGACTTACCTAGTCGGACCTAGTCGGTTTGTCCCAGGTAAACGTACTCTTCAACAACTTCAAGCATAGTGCTCCCAACAACTACCGGCATAGGTGTGACATGCACATTAAACATGATCTTTGTTTCGTCCATGTTCATCTTAAGACCTATCCGTTGGGATGCACTATTGAGGTCATTGAGCATAGTGCTTAAGTCCTCCTGCGATTCTGCCATAAGGACTATATCGTCGGCAAATCGAAGGTGAGTGATGTACTCGCCATTGATGTTAATACCGTATCCTTACCAGTCCAGTAGCTTGAAAACGTCTTCCAATGCAGCGGTGAAGAATTTCGGGGATATAACGTCACCCTGTCTTACACCCAGTTGTATAGGTTTCGTACTCTCGTTCTGTACTCGGATAGCCCTACTGTACAAACACTTCAGCACTTCGATATATAGATAGTCAACTTTGCACCGCTGAAGAGACTGTAGCACCGCCCAAATTTCAACGCAGTCAAAGGCTTTCTCATAGTCCATATACGCCAGGCAAAGTGGCAGATTGCACTCTTCGGACTTTTGTACAATTTGCCGAAGGGTATGTATGTGGTCTATGGTGCTAAAGCCTTTGCGGAAATCGGCTTTTTCGGGAGGCTGGAAGTCGTCGAGTCTGCGTGCGAGACGATTCGTAATGACTCTCGAAAACAGCACGTAGACGCGGCTCAGCAGGGATATCGGTATGTAGTTCTTCAAGAGAACATTGTCACCTTTCTTGAAGAACAAGACCACCGCACTTCTTCTCCACGCATCGGGAGTAGTGCCACCATGGAGGACGGAATTAAAGAGCTTCTGAAGGACTTTAAGTACCACTGTTCCACCCGCTATCAGAAGCTCCGCTGTAATTCCATCCTCGCCCGGGACTTGCCGTTTTTAAGGTGCTGGAGAGTCATTCTAATCTCACTCAGACTGATGTCCGAGATGTCATCGGAATAATGTCGGATAAGACTTGCTTTTGGATCGTTACTCACACTTGCGTGTAGCTCCAACGATGATGTGTACAGCTGCCTATAGAACCTCTCAATCTCACTCAAAATTACAGGTGTCCCAGAAACGATGCCGCCACACTCAGTCTTCAGCTTTGACAGTTGGCTCTTTCCGGCAGACAGATCTCTGGCAAAGACTTTGGAGCCCTGGTTCCGCTCAATCGCTTCTTCAATACGAGCTGTATTGAAGTTGCGTAAGTTCTGCCGCATGCATTTGGAGATCTGTCTGTTCTGTTGCCTGTATGCTGTCAAATCTGTTGACGATTGCAGCCTCATCTCCCGTCTAACAGCCATGAGATTAAGAGTGTGATCGGAGAGTTTGTGTGTTCTTCTACGGTGGGTCTTGCAGAACTTAGCTCCGACCGCATGGACAGTTTCCACGAGCTTGTCATTCATATCTTCCACTGCATTGCAATCTTCTAGGCACTGAAAGCGGTTACGTAGCTCGAGCTGAAAAGTTTCGGGATTTTGGATTAGAGCACGAGGGTCACGGAGCGTTGACTTCATTAGAGACCTCTCCAACTTAACGTTTAGGTTCAGTGTGCCTCTAACCATTCGGTGATCTCTGCCAGTTTTCACCCTTGCGATCACGGAGACATCACTGAGAGGTTTGCGTCTGGTCGTCATAATGAAGTCAATCTCATTTTTTGTCGAACCGTCGGGGCTCGACCAGGTCCACTTCCTGTGGGGCCGCTTCTGGAAGAAGGAGTTCATCATAAAGAGTCCTTCTTTCTCCATGAAGTCGGCCAGCTGGCCCTGGCCCCTATAGTTCCGTTGCCCTACTCCAAATTTCCCTAACTTCAGCTCACCGCTTTCTCTTGTGCCTAGTTTTGCGTTGAAGTCTCCCATCAACACCGTGTAGTGGGTTTTGGAGGAATGCATGGCACTGGAAAAATCCTCCTACATTTTCTCCACCTCCTCATTGGGACACGCCGAGGTTGGTGCGTAAACCTGTATGACCTTCAGCGAATACCGTTTGGTGATTCTGAGTATCAGGTACGCGACCCTCGTCGACACACTCTCAATATTTACAACGTTGTTAACGAGAGACTTGTGGACGATAAATCCGACACCTCCTTGGGACATATGGTCACCCTCCCGGTGACAGAACAAGTTGCCGGACTCGAGGATTACCGTGTCCTCCCCCTCTCTTCGGACCTCGGATAATCCAATAATATGCCAGCGCAACTTGTCTACCTCTTCTTCCAGCTCCAGTATCTTCTCGTCAGTACTCAGGGTGTGTGCGTTATATGTTGCCAGATCGAGTCGTCGTAGGTGGCAACCGAACCTCCACCGGAGATTCTTAGCACCCCCTGCCCCGCCGTTACCATAGTCGCCACCGTAGCCAGGAATAGCGGGGCCGCGGGGACAGGGGGCCGTTTGTTTGCGTCGTTATTCATGGGGGGATATTTGTCATAATTGCCACGCCTGGCAAGTTGGTTGGCAACCGTAGTTTTTTTATTATATTATTGTTGTTATTAGTAAGATGCTGCTGCCCATCTCCTGCCTGTCTCCCTCTGTCGCCTTTTACGACACCCACGGGAAGATATGGGGTAGTGGATATTCTCAACCGCCACTACACGGCATCTTTTGACGATTGTAGATCACTAATGGCACAAATACCAAATATAATAAAACAACTGTAGGAACTTACTAAAGAGTACACCACTTGCGATTACGTCAAAAACTGCTTGTAGCTGAAGGAAACTGAAGGAGCAATACAAGAATTGGCTGAGCGCACGAAGAGAGCTAACAATATAATAATTTATGACGTACCAGAATCAAACTTGGATAAACCTTTACAAAGGCAGGAGTATGATAAAGAGGAGTGCAGGAAAATTATAACTTGTGAGAGCAAAAAAGTAAGCTGTGATAATATGAAAGTATTTCGTCTTGGTGCACGTAAGTCTCAAGCTGGGGCTCCTGCTCACCCCATTGAAGTGGTAATGAAGTCTAAGAATGATGCTATTGAGATACTTCGTAACAAAACTAAACTGGATAAACCGTCAATTATTAAATCAGACCAAACTGCCAACTTGAAGTACCTCCGTGATGAATTAGAGAAACATACTAATAATCGAGAACAAGGCTTGACTATCAAGTATATACAAGGGCAACCATATATACTTGATAGTCAAGCCTTGTTCTGCCATAAAAAAGTATATAAAAGGGAATAAAATTATCTGTAAACAGGAGATAAAAAACTAGTTCAAATTCACCAACCCTCACTAGTAAACCTTTTAACAAAAAAACGCGATCTTCGATACCTTCCGCACTCTTAACAATAACAATCTTATACACAAACATACAATCGATAACATCTAAACTGGATTTATTCATTGTAAGAGTTGATCAACTAAAACTATCAATTATAGTCCTCTCAGAAACATGGCTAAAACCAAATACACCTGATTCACTGATAAAAATACCGGGTTACGACTTATACAGAGACGATCGTACTGATAAACGAAGTGGAGGAATCACTATTTATGTATTGAACAATATTATCTTATGACATTGTGACGGCCCAATATTATTATTAATAATTAAATTCAATATAAAGGGGCGTCAAAATAGTCTTAAAAGATATATATTAAACAATAAAATTACATTAATAACCATAAAGTTAATATAAATACATTTCAGAAATTAGACCAATAACATAGTAAATTAATGGCAAAATATTGTCTTCCATAATAAATAAATTTATTAAAAACTTGAAAAAATATTTAAAATAAGATAATTAATAGAAATACAAGTCGAAAATATTATAAAAATAAAGATAAATAACATTTGTAAGATAATTAGAAAATTTGTTGAAAATTGTCTAAGTCGTGGAAGGAGTTCATGTATAAAAGAAAATTTTCCTAAGTTGTTGAAGGAGTTCGTGTATAAAAGAAATTTCCTAAGTTGTGGAAGGAGTTCACGTATAAAAGAAAAGTTTCCTAAGTTATGGAAGGTGTTCATGTATAAATGTCTTGTATAGAGGAGCTGCTAGTGGTGAGTACTGTAGTACAATGAGTCCTATATTAGGGACTATGATATTAAATAATGATACAAAAGCATACTATAGAAGGTTTGATGAATTGCATTACAATAGTAGGGTCGTGGGTCCGAACCCTATATATTAATGACTTATGAAAGTAAGGTCTATGATACAAAAGTAATACTATAGAAGGTCTCTATGATTAATATGCATTACAATAGTAGGGTCATGGGTTCGAACCCTATATATTAATGACTTATGAAAGTAAGGTCTATGATACAAAAGCAATACTATAGAAGGTCTCTATGATAAATATGCATTACAATAGTAGGGTTGTGGGTTCGAACCCTATATATGAATGACTTATGAAAGTAAGGTCTATGATACAAAAGCAATATTATAGGAGGTCTCCTTGATGCATAAGCATTGTATGGAGTGGTTGGGTGACCGACTGCTCCTAGTACTGTAGCAAAATGACTAGTCCTTATTAGGGACTTGAAAAGGAATATTATGGTGGCGTGTATGCTGCTTCACGAACAATTGGTCCAAGGTAAACTTAGACTCGCTAACCGATGTGTCCTAGACATATCATCTTAGTGCTGGTGGTAAGCGGACATCGCACACCCATATTGTCTACCTTTCGGATTGGGATGAGTGTGTTTGGTAGCACTTTTAAGTGTAACAGGCATACTCAACTTCATGTCTTAGTGCATTAGCGCTATGATACGTGGAGTTTTGTTCATTGGCGTCTTAGTAGCGTGCTACTATGATACGTTGGTGATATTTTTTATATAACAACAATAAAAACTTTGTTACCAAAATCGATAGGGATCATGTGGGTGTGTTGTGAGGGGGGCGCCATCCGTATGATAGTTGCATTGATACTTACTGCTACTTGCGGTATTGCGTCTTGTGATGGATCTGCGGGTGTGCTGCGCCTGATTCGACGCACTCTTGTGGTTCTGGTCGATGGAGGTATGCGGGTGGTGATGTCTGCTGGGATGTATGGGGGACCTTGGGATGGTGTAAGCCCGACGATAGTCGTATTGGTGCTTGTTGCGTTCTGCAGTATTGCGTCTCTGCGATGGTTGTTTGGTGGGACGCTATTCTCAATGGCGCTCTCTGCGTCTTGGTTTGACTCACACCTAAGTAGCTTTGCCCAAGTCGGGTCCATTCATTACGGGGCTGCAGACTGTCTGCCCTCCACGATGTTTTATATAACAACATAATAATATATCTCTGTAACTTTCCCACCTTTGAATGATTGAAGGCAACTTGTTGGTGGGTGAGACAAACATGATCGAAAATGCATTTACTCAACGTCAGTGACACAAACCCTTTCTGATGGCGAATTATTACTCTTATCTTATAACTGCCTTTTGGCTATATCTGCCGTTGTATTGGTTGGTGGAGCATATGTGTCGACCTCATGCGGGTGGTAGCTGGCGGGAGGATCTGAGGAGACTCTCAAGGCTGCGGCCGAAAGCCGCACAACGTGGGACCCCATTCCCTTGAGGTGAGCGGTAGACTCATGACACGCTCTGCGGCTAGTAGCCGTGCTGATCATGCAATTGGTGGTGATGCCATACACTTACATCACGTCTGCGGGAGCGGCGGTCTGGCAGGTGGTGGCGCTCACGGAGGGTTTACGGCCAGTGTGCCTATTTGCCTAAACCGTGTGACGTACATTCACTGTGGCTGGATTCGTTCGTATTCTGTATGGCGTTTACACGCATTGACATGCGCGACTTCGGTCGATGTTTGTGCTTATGCACTAACAAGGGGTCAAGCCCCTTTTACTGGTTCGCCAGTTATTTTGCTGTGGACTACGGTCCAGTTCCCAAATTAGCGTTCCCTTCGGGGGGAGTGCATCAAAATGGTTGGCGCTCACCGTGCACGGCGTGTGTGTGCCTCCCCTACATTTTTTTAATAAATGTAGGAGAGCGAAGCCCTTGTATCGGGTATTTTGTATAAATATATTTTGAGCCTTTTCCGAGCGGGAAGGGATAAATAATATTAAATTAATAATGTAAACCTGATACAAGTGGAATTGGGACGTTTTATGTTCTTAACCTTTCTCGAGCCCTGTCTTCGTGAACGGGGTTCACTTAGCTTATAAGGCACTACCAACAGCTTTCAATTGCTCTAGCGAATATTCATTCTTCCAAAAGACACCTAAAAGAACTAAGTTACTAAACAAACACAACGTAAATAAGGGTCCTAACTAAGACGATCACGCCAAAAATATTACAAACGGCCTATTATTAAACCTTTAGAAAGATCATTTAGAAAGATCAAAACATATCTTAATTATCTTGGTCACATATATATAATTTTTATCGAAAAGGGGTAAATTAATTATATCTAATATATTTATTATATGACAGAGGGGGGAAGCGTTACAATTTGGTGCCGTGACCAGGATATATTTTAAAAAGAAGGTCGTCTGTATAAGAATTATGAAGTAGGCGTTATGCCTACAATTTGTTGTCCGTGAAATGGAAAGGTGTCTTGGAGGATGGTGTTTGCTGGGGGGTGGTTGTGAGTCTGTGGGTGTGGCTTTTAATATTAATATTGATTTTTTTGTTATAAAAGGTGTGTGCATAGTTAATGCGAAATAAAATATAAAGTGAAATAAATGAGAAGACGCAGTAACATTTGTGTAAGTGAAGGACATAACAGTGCTAAAAACTGATAAATGTATACAAATATAAAATGGTTAAAACAAAGAAAAGTTCTAACTTAGTGAAGGCTAAGCCTAAAAATGAGTTTAAGATGCTTCAAAAATTAATTAAAAATGCAGTGAAAACCTTTGAGGTTAAAATAATTTCTCGAAGAAAAGTTTATTAACCAAACGAAAGTTCACCAAATTAAAGTAAACCAAGAAGAGGTGTACGGGGCGAGCACCTCACATGTCACTGATCCTAGACGAAACATTTTATATATCATACATAATGTGACAATAGAAAAGCTGAAATTGGAAATGAAAATACTCATCCAGTAACATTTTATAAGATCTCACCAATTAATTAAAGGACGTTCCATCTAATCTCTATATAATCCAAAGTTATGAGCAAGTTTTAACTTAAATTTTTAGGAAAATTATTAATTTAAGTATTTTATTGTATTAATTCATTAAAACAAATAATGTTCATGTGTGATATTTGTAATACTTTAAATTAAATAGAGAGAATTATAAACCTGGGTCAGTACGCCTGACTCAATAACATTAATAAGTTCAAGCAGCCACTTAAACTAAATAGTAAAAGTAAACATAATGTCGGACAAATTAGATAACAAGTGCGAAAGAATTTAAAAGAGGCAAGTCGCATTAGAAACACAAAATTTGATAAGCGTAATAAATTAATGAAATATCACATTGGCGATTTAGTAAAAGGTTCTAGATCTAGTAAATCAGATGCAGATAACAAAGTTATGAGTAAATTTAATTTGGCGTATGAAGGGCCTTATATAATAGCAGCCGTACCATTTAACAATATACTTTAATATACTTTAGCAAACCCAGAAACAAATGAAATTATAGGAAATTTTGATGCTATTCATTTAATAAAATATTTTAAATAATAGTTTTGTTTTATATACATACTAGAATAAATATTGTAATATAAATTGGTCTCGTGGGTGGCCCTTTGAGAAAATAAATTTAAAATTATTAAAGTTATGAGCAAGACACAAAACTATTAAAAATAAGAAAAATGATATAATAATTATATTAACGACTATCTGTAAATATTGAATGTAAGATAAATTTGAAAAATATTTTTATTTGAATAAATTTGGGGAGTTGGGTCAGGGTGAATGGCTCAATCAAATTTATCCTGTGGGTGTGTAGCCATCTGATTTCAACTCATATTCAAAATACTGTACATATAAAGACGGCATTGATGAATAAATATTTCAAAGACTTAAAAATGTAAGTCAAAAACTAAAGAGAACCACTATATTAACGACATAATATACAATAAATTTAGCAAGATAACGATTTATGGTTTATCGCATTGGGATAGATGTGGTTGAAGGGGTGTGTGGCGGCGGCCATTCCCTGGGGTAGGTGGGATGAAAATATATACTGAATTGTAACCGATTGAAAGAGGAAAGAACAGATACACATAAGTTCAAAATTTTGAGTGTAGTGCATATGCTCTCAATATAGAAAAATTTTATATCAAC